CCCTTGAGTCTTCAAGTCTTCATCGGACGTCTTTTGCAACTTCATGGATTCGTCTTCCAAGAACCTCCGTCTTCAAGACATAACCAAAATTATGCAAACACTAGTATCTACGATTAGGACTATTCTAAATATTAAGGTACAAAAATACTCAACTGTTTGCAGACCATATTTAGATTTACAAAAATACGTCACGGAACGCAACCCGTATTTTCTATCCTAATTGGGCCCCACTAGGTGCAATTTTTATAAAACCTGCTGGAGAATATACATTCCATTCATCCATTCACTATTTTGAATGGCCCGTGCATTTTACAAAGAAAAAAAAGTATTAACGTACAAACACGCGTAAACTAGTAACTAATTTTGGTCGTTAATCCAATTAACACACCTAATTAAAAATAGTCAAAGTTGTTTAACTGATAACGTAATTTAGCCCAATTAAAATTGAATCTCCCACTAAATTTTGCATCCATCTTAATTAATCCATTTAATTAAGCCGGTAGACCCAAAAATTTTCCAAAATAAAATTTTGCCCATGCCGCTTAAAACCGAGGTCTGGCCTCAAAACTTTAATTAAAATAATTAAAACCAAAATATTTATATTAATTAGAATAATTAAAGCAAAAAAAAATTAGCAAACACGTAGCCAACCGCACGCAAGTGTTTCGCGCACCCAGACTATCTAGTGCGCACCATTGCTAGCCAAGGGTGCCTAGCACCCCTTGGGCAATGCGGCTTGGAGCGTGCTACTGCACCACCCCACGTAGCACTAGCTAGGCCAAGCCTAGTAATGTTTGCTAAGGGTTGCAAGGTGCAAAGCAGCAAGCACAAGAATGCTTTCCCCTTCGCAAAAAAACCAAAATACACACACAACCCATACACTCCCCGCAACACGCATGCACGCCCAGTCAAGGCCACGCACAGCCAGCACGCACAACTAGCAGCTTGCTGCTCTGGCTGCGGCTTGCTGGCTGGCTGGGTGTGCCATGTTGCTAGCAGGCAACGACCATGCTAGGGGTGTGTGGCGCGCACCAAGCACACCAACCCCCTTGGCAGCCACATGTGGGCTGCTAGGCAGCCCGGCTGGCCGAGGGTGTTGGGCCTTGTTTTACGTGCCACACTCTCGGGTTTTAACCTAAAATTTTGTGTGACTTAGGGTCTGTTCTCTTACGTTGAAATTCAGTTCAGTTCAGTTCAGTTCAGCTCCTAATTTCCTTCTCTTATAAAATATTCATTTCAGTTCAGTTCAGTTCAGTTCGGTTAAGTTCAGCTCAATTCAGTTCAGTTCAGTTCAGTTAAGTTCAGCTGAGTTCAGACAATGAGAACAGGCCCTTAATTATTAATTCCATATTAATTTTTAGAATTAGTTCAATGAGCAAAAATGAAAAAATATTACAAGTGCAACTTAAATAAAAAATCATCAAAGTGCACACAACCAAAATTATTCCCATGAACCATTCTTTAATAAAATTGGTTCAACTTGGAGCAGTAAAATAACTAAGGGCAATTACTCACTATTAATTTAATTAATTTAAATTAATTATGAGATTTTATCAAAATAAAAGGGAGTTGGAAGAACACAAATATTCAAATAATGATTCCAACTTTAACTTGTAAATCCTTGGAAAATTATATCTACCAATATGAAGATAAATGAAATTTTGATCACAAGAATCAAACTTTATGATTCCAATCAACTTTAAACATGATTAAATTAAAAGTTCAACCAAAAATTCATAGAATTTAGTAACTCAAAGTTCCAACCACTTAAAACAATTAAATATTGGATCTTTAGTATTTAGAAGCCTCAAAGATTAAATTTTCCACACTTAATGCAATGAATTTGCAATTATGTCAAAATTTTAACCAATCTTTCAAGCACTAATTACTACCAAGTAACCATTCTTAAAGAGGTTAAAAATGCGAAAACATTAAGGAAAGAAACATATACATAATCATCATAAATATGGCATTAAGATTCATGGTTAGAAAGACCTAAATTTTTTTGTCAAAACAAAAAATTTCTCAAAAAATGCATTTCGGGTTTTGGCCTAAAACACAGTTCTAAAAGGGATAAAACATTTCTAGAATGCCTTTTCCACCCAAAATTCACAATTTTTGAGAAAAAATCTTGGTTCGGGGCCATAAATAGCTTTAAAACGGGATTAAAATTAATAATTAGTAACATAAAAGTAGAAAAATAAAGCCATAAAAACACCTTGAAAGTTATGATTATAAAAATAAATGAGCAAGGCTCCGATACTGCTGTTGGGTTTTGATGAGTCCTACTCATTTCGAAAAATAAAACCTGATCCAAGATCACACTCACAATTATAATCAAATGACATAATTAACAAGAATTAAGGAAACACGAAAATATCTTTGAAGAATGCTTCGCTCGTTCACCGAGCTCTTACTTGAGAAAGCTTAAGTCTCGTAACGGGCGAAAATCTCCTACGGTATCCACCCGCAACATGAACCCGACTAGGTCAATTACTTAGAGGTTAGCCAAGTTTGACCAAAACTTCCCGAGTAATTATGAGTTTAATGGTTTTCTTAATGGAGATGCATTTTCTAACTCTTAATCAAGTGAGTTTTCCCATACCCCATGTTGGGTATTTATATGGAAACTCATGAGTGAAATCTTCTCTCCAATCAATGTGGGAGAGTTGGTAAAATTATTATTCTCCTTTTATTGTTAAATAAAAAACAAAAGCAAATAGCCAACAACTAGTTAATCAACAAGTGGCATATTTAGAGGAGGGGTTAGTTAAGGACCACAAAGAAAGGGGGTGGGGACCAAACTTGATCCCCAAGGCTTAAGGAAAAATGGCCCTTTGCACCACTTACCCCAATCAACTTGTGCCAAGTGGCAGCCCAAGCTGTGGTACCCAAGGTTCCTTGTTGGCGCTTGCTGCTTGTGGCTAGGCCTGGTACCTTGGCTTAGCAACATCCACGCTTGCGCGACAGACCAGCAAGCTTGCTTGTTGCTGGGAATGGCGCGCCATGCCGCAGCTTTCCCACGCTGGCCCTGCGTGCCAGCAATGCACTGCTAGCTAGCTAGCACTACTAGCTTGATGCTACTGCTGCTTGCACATGCTAGCTATGCTTACTAGCCATGTGTCTGCGCAGTGCTAGCAATGGTTCTTATGCTAGCCGCCTTGGCTATACCAAATGCCCTAGCACCCGGTTTTCTTGGGGCGTTCTGATGCTAGGGGTATTTTGGTTAATTGTTGATTAATTAGTAATTTTACAATCTCGTCTTTTATTAATTCGACTCAACATACGACGCTCGATTTCAACGCTCCAAGCTTGAATTCCTATGTCTAAATATTAATTACTCAAGTGACTCATTAATTCCTTCTGATTTAATTCGTCGTGTCGAATCGTTAGTTTCTTGGGTGTGACTCGAAGGGTTCAATCAAGATTAAGTTGTAATGTTAATTATACATTGATATTACTGATCGAAAGCAGCCTCCTCCTAGGATTTCTGATCACTTGACCTCATTGAATAATTACCTTTCTAATAATTCCGAACACTCTACCGGAATTCTATACTTGTTCGAAGGACACCATTCCTATCAGATATTGCCAATACTATTTGTTGTATACGGGGTAGATAGAATTAAATTTTAGGGGTTGTTTGTTGTTGTGGACAAATATTATATTCATTATTTAAATTCGACTATAATTATTGCCTGCAACCCGATTATTGATCCTAAAGATTAAATTTGACTATTTTGAAAATATATATTTTATTTACTATGATAATAAATAGATGAATTTAATAAGAGAGTTGTTGACATTTAATTTTGTTTGAACTGGTAATATAATAAAGAAAAGGTGATTAGTTGACGAAAATAATAGATTAAATCTTAATCATAAATTTCCTATAACAAATGAAAATTCAATATTGCACACATAATCTAACCAACATTATTGTCCTTAACATTCGGGATTAGATTTAACAATCACCATCCCAACTTCCTCCGTTTCCTCACCACAAAATGCAATAATATCTTGCAAATCAATTGATGAAAGATCCTTAATTTTTTTTGTTCCTTGCTTGATTGAAGTGCACAAATTTTCCATCTTTATTCGATGATTTTCACTTTTAAACTTGAAAATCTTCATCTCAAGCATTTCAAGTTCTTTTTTCTTAAAGAGCATTTCTAACTTAAAAGCTTTTTCATGTTGTTTTTCATCATTTTTTGGATTAAATATGATAAAAAAATTTGACTCATATAAAGTTGAAAATTCATCTGCTTCCCTCACAAGATCACTCATAAGATGGGCAACAACTTTAGCATTTAATTTGCGTCATCCATTGTTGGTTTAAATTAAAATGTTTTAATTGGTAAGAAGGCTGTGAACTAAGATTTCCTTAACCATGTTCAGATATTTATATGCACACTTAATATGAAGCCATGAAATTATTTAATTTATTTTTCTGAATTTTCCTTTTCTAATAGACAATCTTGTCATGAGATTTTCAACATAATAAATGTAACATCGTTGTCACTATGTACAAGTTCCATTAACCATTAAGTAACAAAGTTACAAAATCACATTTTCGGATTTCTTACCAAATTTAAGACTTGCTCGCTACCAATGACGTGTAAGGTTGTATTCTTTGTTTTTCAGTTGATGAAATAGAAATATATATTGGAAAAATTGTTAGGAATAATTCAACCTTTCACCTATCATCAAAACGATTTTTGACGTGTATCTTCTATAAATAGAATAAACAACCAGTAGCTTGTTTCATAGTTTAAACTGAAAACGTGTCGTTGTAGACACCTAACATGTCTCCCCGATCCAACTTTGTTATGAAGGACCTTTTATCGCAAAGTAATTAGGTTGCGTATCAAAAAAAATTGCTTGAATCTCATGATTTACCACTTAGCCCAATTCGTTTCCCCTAAACCAATCCCTTTTTAGCACAAACGACACACTACTACAAAAGTGACATTAGGTAACACAAAATGGTAACACTCTCAAAGTTATAAAGCTATTCGATATATAAGTAACACTCGTGTAACACTTTGGTTTTATGTAACACTTGGTTGTAACACTTTTATATTAGGTAGCACTTAGTTGTAACACTTTAATTTTAGGTACCATTTGATTGTAACACTTTCAATTTAAAAGCATATGATAAAAATAATAATAAAAAAATATTTTATCACTTCTCTCTTTCCCCCTTTACTCTTTCCCAATTCCTTGATCTCAATTTTCCCTCTCTTTAAAACTCAGTTTCTCACTCACCGCCTCAACAGCCACCCCACGTTGGCGCCCACCCATTGGCCAATGAATGAAGTTCTCACCGGCCACCTTACGTCCCCACCCACTGGCCAAAGAAGTCCGTTACCCCACGAGCACACGGGTTGAGTGACGAAAGGGGCTTTCTGTTGGAAAACCCTAGATGAATATTCAATAGAAACTTTGATGATAGATGAGATTATGATGGAGCTAGATGATGTGATAAATCAATAACGAGCACCATCAATCATGAATTGAAGAAGGGCATAGGAAAATTGGGTGGTTGATTTTAGCGAAGAGAGAGAACAAGGACATAGGCTGGCTTCAAACCTTGTAGACGCCTCAATGGCTTCATCTTTGACCAGGTTTATTTATACTCCTCTCTTAATCTCTTTCATCAATTCTATTAATTAATTGATTTTTGGATACCTTTTAAAATATATCATAAGTTTTGATTGAAATTAAGGAATACGTGACCAATTTTGTTTAATCTATGAACTACTCTTAATTACCCACTATTCTATATGAAAATGATTTCGTTAGCTTTTGAGTTTTGACTAATAAAATTTTCTTAGGAGATTATAATTAATTTTTGGTTGATAAGGTCTTTGAAAAAATGAAATGGGAATATTATTGTATTAAGTGGGACAATTCGTCTTTATTTTGTTGCTTAGTGCATTATTTATATATATTTAATTGTTGTTATATGTGTAGGATTCTGATTCCTACTTCAATCGGGTGAAATAATTAAATTGTTCAAATTGTTAATCGCTTCAATTAGGTGCAATTTGTTTTATTAAATTGTTCAGATAAGAACAAAAAGAATGATATGATATACACTAAGTACTTGATTTGCAGTTTACTTTTGGGAATTTTGTTTTAAGCTACTGCTGATTGTAGAATTTTCCAAAATTTTGCAAAATAATCAAATTGTGACTTTGTTTAATCACTTTTAATGTGACTGTGATCTTATTATATGCTTTTAATTGTGTCTGGTGTGGATTTATGTCCTATGTTTTGTTTGATAGGTATAAAATGAAATTAGGGAAGTATAAAAGAGATTCAAATTCAATTTAGAGAGAAGGTGAGAATTATACAGGTTGTGTTGAGTCTAGATGCAAAATTGGTTGATGTGCTTGTGAGTTTGCTTCACTTCTCAGTCCTTCACTGATTCTAATTTAATTTATTATTATAAGCAAATACTTTCTTGTGTTTTCTACCCTATTATTTGAAGTATTCTGGTTTCTTAAATTAAAGAGAGTTGTAGATTCTTGTCATCTTCGGTTTTGATTCCATTTGTTGGGAATTTCTTGGTAATTTCTTGTTTCAATAAGCTAATACTAAGATGTATCTTGAAGCACATAATGGCTACTAAGTATTCTTGAGTTAATGTGTAAGTCATCTTCAGTCATTTTAACACATATTCTTGTCAATTCTGCAATTTCAAAATAGAGACAACATTTGTAGATTCATTAGGTAGTTCAGTCCTTAGTATATGCTGGAGTACATGTACATATCTCTTTGTCCTCCTTTTCAAAGTTATAGATTGTAATGCTATTAAAATATGTAGCTAACCCCAACTATCAATCAATTCATAGTAATTAATCATAGATAAGAAGTTGATAAGGATATATAATTTATCAAGAACCAGGTCATATTGCTTCGTGCCTTTGATTTTGCTGTCATGATACATGATGTTATGATAAGTGATGCCCCCTCTGGATTATGAAACGTATGATCTTGTACATCCTCATTTGTTCTGCTTCTTACATATTATGTTTTGAGTCTCTATTTTTCATAGTTAGAAGTGCAATAAACCTGGTCATCTTGTTCAAGAATATTTAGTATCTAAACCCTGCCTTAAACCTTAAAATTTAACTCAAATTTATGGGTGTTTAACTTCCTTTTCCCTTTTTTTTAGCTTCTATGTTGTTTCTATTGTGGTTAATTTTGATTGCATATATAGTCTTGTTTTTTTAACAGATTGGTTTTGTCAAGTGTGGATTGTGGATGAGTCACATAGTGTCTATGGACTTTTAATTAACACAAAGTAATATTTTGGAACTGTGACAGGAATCCTTGCTTTTGCCCACTAGTAGGACCTGTCCAGAGTAAGGCTTAAAAATAGTTCAACTTGGCCATCTTCTTCTATTATTTTGCTGCTGATATCCGCTACTGCTATCTAGTGCTACTGTTATCTGATGCTACATCTGCTGCTGGTATAGATGTCAGCTATTACTAGCTGTTGTTACTGCTTAGTGGTTGCTACTATCTGCTATTATTACTCCTGCTTATTGTGCTGACTGTTTTTGGAATTTGGGGGGCTAGAGATCGGAGTTGACTTTCTTTTTATTTTGATTATTATTGGTTGGCCAAACAAAAAATTTGGTATTTATGTATGTAATTTGTAAGAACTATGAAATTATTTCAATTAAAATTATTGTCTATTGTATATGTTAATTTTACTTTCATGGTTGTTGTGCATATTAATATATTATTATTATTATTATTGTTGTTGTTGTTGTTGTTGTTGTTGTTGTTGTTGTTATTGTTATTATAATAATAATGACAAATGTTACCTGTTAATTAATAAGGTGTTACATTAGTTTGTAAAAAGTGATACATAATGTTGAATAGTGTTACTATACGTCATAAGATGAATGAAAAACATTGTTACTTTAGTACACAAAAGTGATACATAATGTCGGATAAAGTGTTACTATATGATTGAAAAATGTTACCAAAGATATTAAGTGTTACATAAGAAATAAAAGGTAACACTTTAGAAATGATACTAGCAATATAAAAATGTGTTACGTAAGAGGGTTTATAGTAACACTTTGAAAAGTGTTACCATATGTTACCTAAAGTGTTACATAAGACCTTAGGTAACACGGGCGGATGTATCACCCACTAAAGTGTTACCTATTGTTTATAATAATACTTTTACCACTTTATGTAACACTTTTTAGGTGTTACTTGAGGTTACTTATGCACTAGTGGACAATATTAATCTAATCTTTTTTTACTTTCGTTTTTTAAGCTTAAACTCGCTTCACACATCTTGATAATAGTTATCAAGTCCAATTTCCCAAACCCTAATCTTCAAAATCACACCAAAAAAAAAACGCGTCTTGGAGTGGTCGTCAAGCATAATTGTCTTTGAAATCAGATAAAGATTAGACTTGGCGATCCTAACATGTTCCATGACCTGAAACCAGAAATCTTTTTGACCACACATGTACCTACCCAAAAGTGGAGTTGACTTAATTTGGACCTAATACCCGAAATTATCCAACCCAAAATTGACTCGATACCTAAAATGTCCCAGACCGAAGCTGACCCGATCAGATTTTAACCCGAATTGCTTGACCCAAACAGACTTGATACCGAAAACGTTCAGACTAAAATTACTAGTACTTGAAATTAATATAACTAGTGCCATAAATGATACAAACTGTTTCTTCCGTAACTATGCTCACAAACCAAATAAAGTTGTCGATTGAGCTTGATCAATAGTATCTACAAAAAATGAACCCGAACATGACCTAACCTTATTTTAACTAGACCTGAACATGCTCGAATCAAATTGGCCTCACCCAAAACTACCAGACCAAAAGTTGACCCAACCCAAACATACACAATCTAAAATTAACCACACCTAAACTCAATCAAATACCTGACCTGAAACTTGAATTAACTCGACCTGACCCAAACTCGCTCCAAATGTTAGCTGACTCGACCTGAAATTGACCCGACCTAAATGAGGCGATTGCCACGTCTAGATAAAATTATCAAAATTAAACATTTTCCAAAAACTTTGTGTTGTCGTGCCACAACATCTTTTCCGCAGCATGGCAAGGATAGCGCGGCGCAATTGATATTGACATGTCGCAACAACGTTGATTTTTTAGCATCAGTATTTTCTGAACACTTGCCCATAAATTTGAACGACAAAAGCATTTTGACAACCATACAACCCAAATATCATCCTAAAACTTAATTCGACACATCCTTTTGCAAGTGATTTGAAGTCCCTTTATAGTACTTGGAGTTCTACTAACAGGGGAAAAACTAGGTCGTTGACTAATCCTCCCTAAGCCAAACAAAATTTATAATCACTTAACAAACTTAAATACAATTATAGAGGTAATTCAAGGGTCTAACCCAAAGGAACGATTGTGTTCAAGCACTCAAAATTGTGCACCTAAACTAGGTCGAAGTCGAAGGTGATGAGGTTACACTAATAACTAACAAAACGAGCAACAAAACAAATAAACACTAGGGAATGGAAATCGACAAATAATCATGACACTTTCATAAACTTGGGAAATTAAAACATGCCAATCAAAGGTTGTGAAGACTAATGATAAGAGCTATCAATTGGAATCAAAGAGCTATCTCCTAATCGTTAAGCTAGTGGTCTCTACGAATAACAAATTAGGGAAATCATAATCCAAACCAATCGATAATTGCAATTCCTTAACCAATGGATCGTATCAATATATTTCATAATGCAATCTAGCATAATTCTCACGGCCTAATCAAATTACACACATGCAAACTTACATTAATCACTTTAATCTCAACAATCAATTAACATAATTTCCAAATTATTCATAATCAATCAATCATACAAGTTTCACCCAATTCCTAGCCAAACAAATACTCAAGAATCATCATCTAATAAACAAACAACTAAATAAATCAAGAATCAACAAAATATCTAGAACAATTACACTAATCAAGAATCAAACATCAATATCAAATCAAACAAACATGAAATTGAAGCAATAAGATGAGATAGAGTTAGAAAGGCTCATTGATAATATAGAAGATCTTCGAAACAATTGTCACCCTTGTATCAACAATCTCTCAAATCACCATTGAAATCTCACTTTCTCACTCTCTCTAAATCTACTGCTAAACTAAACCTAAAACTAGAGAGAGAAACTCTCAACTAAGTTAAAAATATGATCAAAATTATGTCTAAAACTTCATAAAAAATTAAGGTTAATAATAGGTATTAATAAGAGGCGCGAAAATGAAACAGAGAAAAACTAGAAACAGGGAGGAGCGCTCACGCGGTCAGGGTGCGCGCCCGTGCAAGGGCCCTGCGTGGGGATAAGTGGTTTATTTGACCACTTATTGTGGTGATTTTAACTTGGTTTTTCTATCCTTTCCCCTCTTTCTAACCCGTTTTGTATATAAAAGTTGTGTCTCGGCCTTTCCCCCTCTTTGTTTGTGTTGTTAGGTTTCGGTGAGTCCGACCCACCGCGAAAAGAAACTCGACCCAAAACCAAACTCACAATAATTATAACCCTAAAGCATAATTAACTTAACCACGAGATTAAGTGAGAGATTAATACCTTTGTATCGTGCTTCGCTCAATTAATTGAGCTTTTGCTTCGAAAGCTCTTAGCCTAGCTCGCACGAGGAGCTCCAACGAAGTCCACCCACAACGTGAGCACTGAAAATGGTCTATCTCTTTAGAGTTAGCAAATCCCGACCTAAACCCAAGGAATTAGTTGTGTTCAAAGGTTTTTCACAATGGTGATGCCTTTTTAAACACTTACTCAAGTGAACATTCCCAAGGCATGCCTTGGGTATTTATAAGGAAAGCTTCCTGTGAATTCCACTTTGTAGTGCTGTCTAAATGAGCGCGGAGCTGTCTTCAACATATTTTGACTTATTTTTCTCGTGCCCAAAAAGAAGTCCCATGACATTAAAGTCAAAGCATGGTGGTGCTTTCTTCTTATAGATAGGAGTAGGGATGTCATCTAAGAAGTGGTAATCCAGGAAGATCTCAAACCCTGGTTGTCTTATTCCATCTTTAACAAAGGGCTCGGGAAATTCATAGCATGGATAATCTTCACCCTCTCTTATGAATTTTCCATTTAAGGTGAGGGAGTATTGATCCATTGGGATTGCTTTCTTGTGGGTACGAGCATTTCTCTGCGCATTAGCCTTTTCCCAGGCTTGCTTATAGTCTTTCGGAGTCGGTTCAAAGCCAAGTTCTAAAGTATCTAATTTAGGAAGGTTAGGTGATTTTGTTTGCATTGCTACTCCTTTCTTCTTTCCTAGAGTCATTCCATGAAAGTGTCCTTGTTTTCAGAGTATACCATTAACTATCATATTTGAATGGAGGTCATGGCAAAGAGGGGTCTTTTCATCTTCCTCTATTAAGGAAACCTCTTCTGCGATAAAGCCCCATATGTCTTCATCATTGTCATCGTACTACTCCACATTTATGAGAGGTTTATCGATTGCCTTAATTCTCAATTAGGAGGCATTGATTGTAACAGAAATTCCTCCAACTATAGCCTTCACTTGTTGGTGAAGTGATGAAGGGACGGCCTTAAGGTCATGAAGCCAAGGGCATCCTAACAACAAGTTGAAAGAAGCTTTGATGTCACCCACTTGGAAAGTTGTAGCATGTTTTATCACTCCCGCGGTGACATTCATAGTAATAGTCCCAAGAGCTTGGTGACGAGTATTGTCATAAGCTCCTATTCCTTGTGTGGATGGAGACAAGTCTTGGTCCCTTATCCCCAAAAATCTCGCAGTTCGTAGTGGGCAAACATTAATTGCTGACCCATTATCTACTAGAGTCATTAGGACATTCATCCTCTTACAAAGTACTGTGAGGTTCAAGGCCTTATTGTGTTTGTCACCTTCTGGAGGTAAGTCCTTGACAGAAAAGGTGATTAGATTAATGGGACTAAGAAGATCATTCGTGAGAAAATTAGCTAATCCCTTAGGAGTGGTTTCTGAATCTATCCCTACTTTTACTAGTACAGACAAGGGCTATTGAGACGCCAATAAAAGGGCTCCCGTGACGCTTAAAAGCGCTACTATACCCTATACCGATGCTACAAAAAGTGTCGCTTAAGTGGATGCCGCAAGACCCAGCAACGACGCAATTTAAAAGCGTCTGTATAGTATTTTAAAAGCGGTGCTACATTGACGCGCTCTTTACCATCTTATAGAGTTACTTAGTAGTGTCGCTGTTTGCTAGCACCACACACTACACGTCACCTACCAAGGTACTTATAAGCGCCGCCAAAATTAGCAAGGTGTGCTTTTCTATTCTTTCAGCGACACTTTTTAGCGCCGCCATCATCATTGTGACGCACTTTTTAATAGCCTATACAGGCATTTTTAAGCGCCGCCATCACCATTGTGACACCCTATTCTATAGCCTATTACGACAATTTTAACCGTTTATTAGACAATTAGGTAACCTATGCTCTAATCTTAATTTTGTAAAGACATTTTTACGCCACAAGAGGGAAGATGATACACTTTTGAATAAGTGTAAATTCTTTAAATTCTTATAATCAACCTGTAATTTTCATAAAAAAATCTGCAAATTCTATAAAAATTAATAATATTCTTAAATGTAAAAATTACAATTTATTCAAGTACCTCAAAAACATTCACACAAACAATCATCTAAA